AGTGTTTTTCACTGTCTGCTCTTTTTTAAACTAGGTTCCGCCACATTGTCTTATGTCAATTGGCCTCACAAACCACAACACACATGTACAAAAAAGGGAACTCAAAGGCAACCCACTTACATCTCTCTCAAATACACTGATATAGATTGTTTGCTTAGCTAAACAGCATTTTGGTAGCCGCATCTCCCTAGCTACGCAATAAATGTTTAAGTTTTAAGACACCTCGAGTCGTTGGCGGGAAGGATGTTGATGCAAGAGTTTTCTCGAATACTCCAACGCTAATTCTAAAACTTATGGCTGTCTTCTAGGAAATGTAATTTTGAAAATAAACTTCAAAATCCATTAAAGCGATTTTTAATGTTAGGAAGTCTCCTCTCTTTGCAGCCCTACAGTAGTTCTACCCACTGTCCATTGTATAAAAGTGTATTATCTGAAAATAAACTTGAAAATTAGTTACCCTCATAAACAGCTGACAAGTAGTTTCCACAGGCTGAAAATGCAAATGAAAGCAGAAATTGCTTGGAGGCGTCGATGGGTAGTTGTTGGACGCGGATGACTTTGCGTCCGGTCCAGAGCATCAAATCAGATTGCCCTAACAAAGGGAGATTAAAACGTAGAGGATGGGACTATATCCCTACCGCTGGAAAATGTCACCACAAGGGGCACAACGTGAGTCGACGCTGTGTCATTACACTGGATACTTGTTATTACTCCTGTCTGGTAGGAAACGGTGAAAAGTTTCTCGCCAACTGAACTAAAGAGGCTCAAGTTTGAACCGCTGGCTGAAAAAAGACATTGCCGGGCTTTTGAAATGCAGCAGACATTTGCGGCTTCGCCCATCTGTTGAGGAAATTAACATTTACGCTGTCGCCAGTAGATATACCTCGTGTTGCATAAATGTTAATACGGCAGAGTTGGGCGGGCGTCTACTTCTATGCACACAGATGGCATCCCATGCTCTACAAATGAGATCTTGTAGGATGCTGTCAATGAGACGAAAGGGCATCGGCAGTTGATCGAAATTTCGTTCGGGATCAAGATTAAAGTCTGAAGAATGGTCGGAAGCCTCGGACGGTGAAGGGGGCGAGAGAAGACATATTTTTGTCATCATTGCTTTTTTCGTAACCTGAAAAGAGTAACCTAAAAAAAACAAGTTGCAGAGCAAAAGAGTCAGTCAGTAAATTTATGGTCTTTTCTCCTTGTAGGCCTAAAGAAAGCCATGAATGAAAATGCCTACGAATGGGTCAACAAACTGCAATGAACACCAGGAGATAAAATATATTGACTTTAGTTGCAGGTTAGGATATTATATTCTGCAATATGACAGCGTGGGTGACGCTCGTACATAGAGTTTTTTCTGTAAATGACCAAATATATTTTTGTATTTCAAAAGGGGATCATGGAGTCCAAGTACCCTGACTATGCGTGAAAACCCACGGAAATTTTAAAAGGCTGTGTAAACTTTAAATTAGCATGTACAATTGTCCATGAAAATTGTAAGAGCAATAAATGGTGACCGGGAAAATGTAGATACTCAGTATGTAAACTGAGACTTAAAAGTTGCAAGGTTGCACTGTCTGGTCATTAATGAAGGCAAACGCCAGACAGATTTATCAATGGCATGAAATATTTCAGGTAGTGATAAAGCACTGTGTCCGCCATATGGTAACGGTTATATTCTTTACCCGTATGTGCACGTACACAAATATCGCCAAGAGCAAGCTGGATGACACGCTTAGTTGACTTGCATATACCGACAAAGATAAAGGAGACCGGAATGGCTGTTTATGGCTTCTTAGCCGCCATCAGCCAGTCATACTCAACCGTAGGTGTGGAGCACTTGGTATCTTTGGTCGTTGAGTTTAACGCTACCGTTATAAAACGGGCTCGTTGCTTTGTCGGTTGGGATCGGGGAAGCGATGAATATGTAGAACGCT